TCAAAGAGAAAGATGACCCTTACAACAAAGTGAAAGATGACGACCCTTATAACAAGGTTAAAGAGAAAGATGACCCCTACAACAAGGTCAAGGACGATGACCCATACAACAGGGTGAAAGAGGAAGGAGAGTCAGGTGGTTCATTTATGGATTTTGACCCTTACAATAAGGTCAAAGATGTTGACCCCTATAATAAGGTCAAGGACACTGATCCATACAACAAGGTCAAGGATGTTGACCCTTACAACAGGGTTGAAGATGTTGATCCGTACAACAGAATAAAGGGGGATGACCCACCCTATAATAAAATAAAAGGAGACGATATTGATGATCCTTACAACAAAGTAGATGAGGATGACTTTGTTGATATTACGGAGGATCCGAAATATCCTTACTCCATGGTTGATCCTAATAGGAAAGCGAAACAGGTGACAACAATTACAGTGACTCATAACGGTGCTGAGGAGCCTACTGCCTCTCCGGCTGGTGCCCCCCAAGTTGTAGATACATTCAAAGTTGAGGAAGGTACGGATGAATATGCTGTTGTTGTGAAAAATAGATCAGACTCATCATCGGTGGCCACTGTTGTGACCGAGTCGAAGGTCACAGACAATCCCCCAGAGGTCAGCCCCTATACTCTGCCCCCTGAACCCCCGAGGAATTACAGGAGTGAGGGAACGTCCGTACAAGCTCCGCCTTCAACTCATGGATCCGCACTGCCACCAGTCAGTTCAGTCAACCAATCACAAACACAGACCTCAGCTGCTACAAGTGTGAATCAAACCTCACCTGCTGAAGGAGACGCTGTGCAGGACACAGGTAGGTAACGAGCTAAATCAACACATTAGTACATGAGTAAAACACTGAATTTAAATGTACACTACGGGTGGCAAATTGTTTATGAATTATGGACGTTTGTTGAGGTGATTATGTGTTTTTATGGACTTGAAAAAGTGATATTAAGCGAGACAAAGCCAAGGTCAATGTAATTTTTTCAGGTCCATATAATCACATATGAACCAAAACAAAAGTCCTTATTTAATTGTAACATTAAATGAGATGCTAAATAATGTTCAAATCATTAAAAAAGATAGAAGGTATAAAAATTGTCATGAGTAAACTACAGCATTTGGCAGAGGGCATTGTGACATTACAATTAAAATGACGTTATAAAGTGAATATTGACCTGCTGTTTCTAAAGATATTAGGATAGAGTCAATATCACAAATCATCAACCTCCACATGATTCTGATCAAACCAATGAGGAAAAGGGTGTGTCATCGAAATATCATGATATAGGGATCATGAATCCCCAAAACACATTAAATATTACCAATTATCGTTCAGCATCTATGACTTTATAGCCTGCCTTTTGCATTTCTAGGTCCTCCTCGCCGGGAACCTGGCTACATCAAGCTGACGTCAAGAGAGTCGATGGCTAGCATTAACGCACGCCGCTCTCTCAACACGTACGAAACTGTGGCAGAGACAGAGAACATGTATGCAACAGTAAGTATTGTTCTAGAGAGAATCAAGGCCAAGTCCTTCAGGGTCAGATTAGCATAACATGATGTTAATCAAAGTCAAACATCCTGAAAAAAAAAAGACTTTTTATTTACCGGGCAATATTTTCACATTTTTTCCCCGATGGAATGATTTGCAAGATATGGCAAGTAATTCTCTAAAATGACATGTCACAGGCATTATTTTGTAAGGCAAAGAAGAAAATGCTGAAGCAAAATCGATTTCATCTGAATAGCTTGTCATACCTAAAAAAGCCTAGGCACATATCAATACTTACTATTGAAATCTATATAGTGTGGTCTTATCTCTATATTCAGATCAACATCTAGAAAATACTATGGTTCCTATTAAGAGTTTTATTTGCCAGAGCCATTTTAGATTATTTTATGATTCATTGGGGCTGCAGTGGCTGAGTGGTTAAAGCATCTGACATTCTGCGACAACTAGCCCTCGACCACTGGGTGGCTGGTTCGAGGCCTACGCAGGGCACCCGCTAGGTACTAGCCATGGTTTTTCTCAGGGAACTCCGGCTTTCCTCCACCACCAAAACCT